ACCGTATGGCATGTAAAAAGGCAGAATGTGTGCAAGAAACAGGTTCACCACTGAAAAGAACAGAATTTCCCGTACAATACAGTGATCTTATCGCTCGATCGAATGACAAAAGCAATTCTCAAGAAAAATCCGATGTCTTTGCTACAGTGCGCTTTATCCGAAAGTCATTTATCACTAATATTTTCCATGCGAAACGAAACTGCTGGAAAACGTCAAAATGATCAAAGCGTAAAATGGATGTTGTCCAAGAATTGTTTAAAGTTTAAATCTTCCTTTCTTTTATTTGATCTTTTTACACTCAATTATTATACGTCAGAGCTTCCGTTTTACTAGTTCGAGAAATTAATAAATTCGATTTAATGCTATATTTTTATACTATATATTAAATTAATAACGTAATTAGTTATATATATATAATATATATTAATATAATTATTATTTTCATCTGGAATAATAATTGAATACATTTGCTCTTGGTAAGATTGACCTTGAATTTATAAAGATAAACTGAGAGACGATCCCAGATTCTACTATCAGTAATAATTAATAATAAAGGGATGTTGAGATTCTGCTAAAATAACTAATAATTAAGACTATAAAAACTATTGAAAATAATAAACTACTAATAATTCAGAAACCTTTGAATTATCATATCAAAGTATGAAAACTTTGCTCTTCAACATTAAGGATAACAAATCTTTCTTGTTGCAGGTTTCCTGAATTTGGAACACGAAGTCGCTGCAGGTAATCAAGGTTTAAAGGACCAAGTGATGGCCCTGAAATGGGTACGTGAAAATATCTCGAGCTTTGGTGGAGATCCCAACAATGTCACTATATTCGGAGAAAGCGCCGGCGCTGCCTCGGTTCATTATCTAACTATATCTCCATTGTCTCAAGGTACGATTTAAAATATTTTAACACAAGGATCGTTTCGACCTTCGTTCGATCGGTTCTATCTGCGCGTCATTTACACGCGAGGCACTTGGATAATTACACGCTTAAACGTACCTCGTTAGACAGCAGTTTCACACACAGAGCGGTGCAATATCCATGGCAGGATATTAGAAATATTCGCTAGAAGCTT